TGCCTGATTTGTAATTCTGAGGTGATGCTGTAGTAATACTACAAATCTGCGGAGCCATTTGACGAGACATCACCCAGACGTGCAGGTTCTAACACCCACAGCCGAACAGACAACTGAAGATTTCAAACGCATTCACAAGCAAAATTCCTCACAATTCACCTCGTGCACAAAAGATCACTGAATCGATTGCATTTCATATTTGCAAAGATCTAAGGCCATACAGCGTTGTCGAAAATGACGGATTCCGTATTTCCGTTACATGTTGAATGTGCTGTAGTGTTGGGTTGTTCTTGAACGAATCGTTCGTTTTGAACGAATCTTTAATGTGACTCGGGAGGAGCGAGTCGTCTCGTGATTCGTTCAGTCGCGCATGCGCAACATCATATAGGTTCTGTACTGGAATTAGTCAAGTAGTTCACCTGGTTCGAGTCTTCGGGTTTTTCCGAGTCGTTCGTTCATCACGTGACAGCCCCATAAGCTTTAACCAATGCAGTGTGAGCCGGAAAGAGAATTGATTAGTTCATCTCGAGTCTTCGGGTTTGAGTCGTTCGTTCATCACGTGGCAGCCCCATAAGCCCAAACCCGAAGACTTGTCAGATAAGAGGTGATGAGCTAATCATAGACTTAAGACTCAGGTAAACAATTAGTTAATATTTTCTGTTTCTTATAGCAGTTTTGTATTGTTTGTAGTGTGATCAACATTTGCGTAAGTAGTAGACATATTAGGGAAGTAACACGTAACATTTTAATTATATTTTGTTAAAATGAACGAAATGATTCGAAAAAAGATTCGTTCATTTTGCTGAACGAGACTCAAAGGTCCGAGTCGGTAAAATGATCCGAACTTCCCATCACTACTTCGTGTCTTTGGAGTGTACCATTCCCTTAAGAGTGGGGGGAGGTGCACAATGGGGGCCTCAGTGAATGAAGCTGAAGCATTGTGCACCCCATTCAGTATTAGTTTTAACAAATTGTCCATTCATATAAGGATATACTTTAAATGTTGGATGTGCAAAATGTTAGTGTAAGCAATATAACTGTAAGTGGGCAAAGTAAATGCAACCACAAAACTTGTAACGTGACAGCCTTCTAACAACGTTATGGCAACATGCTGAAAATTGCAATTTGTTGTATGCTGAATGTTGTCACAAATCTGTCACAATGTATGTTTTTGTCTGCTGCAACATTTTCTTTAAAAAAAAAAAAAAAAAAAAAGACTAGATTCCTCATTTAATAAATTCAAAACATACACAAAAAAAGATAAAATAAAAAATAAATAAACAGATTATCTTAAACTTTCTGGCGTTTTTGTGATTCTTTTTTTTTTAATGAGACATTAAAATGAGACTCACGTACAAAATGTTTATGCCAACACTAAATTAATGTAATTTATTTCCTTTTCAGCTGTCACCACAAGATCCCTGCTGCTAATGAGCCCAGGAATGCAATAAGTCCACTAACCCTATAAAGCTTGCAGTATCATATTTGATATGTAAATTTCTAAGGCCTCTAAAATATCAGCATGATCAAAACTTTGCAGAAACTTGTTGTACACAATCATGCCTCTGTCATCTGATTGTTAGTTTATTTTATTTTATTAGCAAGTAAATGCATATTTATGTTTATATTTTCATAAAGTAAATTTAAGAATAACTTGTTATATTGTTAGTAATATTTCAAAATGAACATTTACTGGACTGAAGCAACTTTAGTGATTATCTTACTATTGGTTAATTTGATTACCTATACATTTCTTTTTTAGGAAAGGAAAACATGCATGAAAATTTAAGTATCAAATATGATACTACAGGCTTTGAGGAGCGTTTATGTTCATCTCTCAATCATTATTGTATTGAAGACATTATATGCTTTGCCCCCTACAATGAAATCTACAGAGCTTTGATTAAAACATTTAAATATCATCTTAATAAGATATACAGTATTAAAATATAGCGATATAGTGAGATAACTGATATTTATATGCATTTTATGTAAGTAGTCTGTTTTGAAGATCTCATTGATTTACATTACATGCAGAATTCCATCCATCTTTTTGGCCATATATAAATAACTGCACAGTTTCCCCCCCTCAACTGTGAGCTCTATATTCTCACAATATCATAGCCTACTATATGAGTCATAAATGATGTGTCAATTATAATACAAACTATGAACAAATATATGCAAAATTGTGTTTTAATATACAGGTGCAGCTCAATGAATTAGAATGTCATGGAAAAGTTCATTTATTTCAGTAATTCAACTCAAATTGTGAAACTCGTGTATTAAATAAATTCA